AGAGAGAGAGAGAGAGAGAGAGAGAGAGAGAGAGAGAGAGAGAGAGAGAGAGAGAGAGAGAGAGAGAGAGAGAGAGAGAGAATGAACGTTGATCTCATGTCCTCACACTACAGCTCTTCTTGGGCAAGTCTGATTGCACATCTGTTCATGCAGCAAAGTGCACAGCAGTCTGGTACAGAATCTGCATGTGCCGCATCCATTTCTGTGCCGCTAAGTGTTCAGATCAGTGCGGGTCCTTGTACTATTAGGGGGCGTAACTGTCAGCTCACTCCTGTCCATTTTATAAGTTTTTATTATTTTTTTTAACCCGTTTTATAACTTCTGAAGTTTGTAACATAGTAGTGCAGCTTGCATTCGGAAGGAGAGTAGACATGCAATTTGCACTCTTGTCTTTCTGCTTTTTGTCAAGTTTTAATTCTGTTTTGGAATTTTAGACTGCCATAGGGGTGCTCTGTAGCAAGCGCGAAAAGGAACCAATTCAGTGCTTTTTTTCGGTTGCATGCATCGGCGTTGGCAGTTCCATCTTGCAATTTTCTGGTACTTTCTGTTGAAGGTTTTGCGCGGTAACAAGGGCATGACGGCATTATGCATGTCTTAACTCCCTTTTTAGATTACTTTGCGCTTCAGTGATCGCATTGTCTTTTTTTAATTCTGCGACGGACCAGTGGGTGCTTGCAATAAGGGACCCTTTTCTTCTTTTCTTTTTCTTTCTGCTGTGGGGGAGGGGGGGGGAGAGGAAGGGGGGTGAGGAGGGGGGTTGGTGGCAGAAGACTAGCAGCTGAATGGCAAAGATAGCTGAGTCAGTCAATCCCCAGTTATCTCGGTAAACAATTGTGCTCAGCTGATGTGCGACATTCTCCATTCATATGCCAATTGTACAGAAAGGGACACTGGACCTGATTTCCACCAGGTTTGGCTGTCCACACATAAGAATGGTGCAATAAGAGACCCTAATTAGTGGTGTCGGCAAACATGAGCGCTTTGTCTGTCTGACATTTTGTCCTCCTTTTGCGTCTTCCCACCTTCATCTGTCTGAAGTTTCTGAAACTCTGGCCCCTCTGCACTCAGAGGGTTTCTTGTACAATTTTTCTTCCATCATGTGCATCAATCCATTCTAAGACTTCCTTGCTTCCTGCCCGAACTTCACATTTGTTTGTTTTGCCCTTCTCACCCTCCTTCCTCCCAAGTTCCTTAACAGTTACTTTCTTCTGGCTGCCTCTTCTTGACACGCGGGCAACCTCCTTTCCCGCATCCATCCCCGGCACCCGCCCCTTGATTTTCTATTGGCCTCAACGATGCAGATGCAGATTGGATTGTTGCGTAGAGAGTGGCTAAATCCCCCACACTGTGATCGCCCCGGGAAACCTGCTTAACGAGGTGATAAGAGCATCCTCCTTAAGCAGGAGGCACCTCCTACCGTTCTTCCTCTTCTTCCTTTCCGTAGCCTTTTTGAAACCTCACCACTATCCCCACAGCTAGAACTCCTGCAGCAAGAGGGGTCACTTCTCTCTTCACTCTCACGGAAGTTAGCGCGGTCACGAGGACTGGCAAACTGGGCGTGTACCGAGGTGCTGGCTGATCGAACAGTCCCGACGAGTTGGCGCCAATCGTGCAGCGTTGACAATTTCGCTGTGACGGACTGCAGGGGCTTGAGTGAACCTGACTTGCTGATTGGGCTAAGCAGGGTGACAATCGAAGGGTGTACGTTTGGGTGCATGGCGACGAACTGTCAGCACTGGGTTTTGGTGGACATTGTCATATCTTTAAGATGGAGAGAAAAACATAACATTCTTGCTTTTAACCATATACTATCTTTGTCTGCAATTTCTCCTTTTCTCTCCCATTCTCTCCCTCCCTCCC